AAACTGAATACTTTCAGAGGATTGTTTGGTGAAAATACGTCAATTCAAACTTAAATCTGTATCAATGAACCAAGATTTTATCAGTGATTAAAATGACTGTCAGTTGCACCTCCAGGAGGCACAAACTAATTTCTCGTCCCTGATAATGTGTAACCGAGGCTTGTGTGTGCTTCCTGCTGTAACGGGTCACTGGTTCTGATTGGCTGACCTGCAGGTGGCTGGAGCGTTTGAAGGCTTTCCCGCACTGCTGGCAGACGTGAGGTTTCTTCTGCGAGTGGGTGATGGCGTGGCGCTCCAGGTCCGAGAGGTAAAAGAAGACCCGCGGGCACAGCTGGCAGTACAGAACCCGGCGGGACCCCATGTTGTTGGGCGACGCCCCCGGAGACAGAGGGTCCAGGGGGTCCAGCGGGTCGAGCTTACCGGAGGAGAAGAGCGGTCCGATGGGAGGGGAGGGGGGAGCGGTGCTGGAGAAGTACAGGTGGTCGTCCAGAGGTAAGTGTTCAGACGGGAGGTCAGACGGGTCGAACCTGGAGTCCGAGGCCGGGGACTGGACCTCTGGCTCTGATGCGGGCTGAGCTGGGTCGGAACCAGCAGGGAGCGGGGGGGACGCTGGGAATGGCTTGTTTTCGTCGTCTTCGGCAGACATGGCTTCAGTTCCCGGGTTTGATTCGCTGTAGCTGATCTGAGCGGCGCCGCGGTGCTCGTCCTGCAGCGAGGACGAGGACGAGGACACGGCGACGACGGAGCTGTTCAGGATGACGGGGGGGTTGCTGGGGCTCAGTCTGATGACCGGGTGAGGCAGGGGGGACGCCAGGGGGAGGGACACCGGAGCCGAGGCCGCCGTGATCTGGGAGAGCTGGCCGGTGGACGGGTCCAGGACGGCGATGGGGGTGGAGGTAGACTCGCCGGTGGAGGAGGGGACGGAGGAGAGCAGGAGGAACATGGGGGTGGAAGCACCGGGGGAGGCCACCTGCAGGGGGAGGCCCACCGGGGGGGAGGAGAGCTGGGAGGACAGCAGGAGGATGGGGGCGCCGGCCGGAGGGTTGGCGAGGATCTGGATGGGCTGGGAGGGAGGTGGCAGGACGGCCTCCGGAGCCGGATCCGCAGGAACCGAAGCGTCTGGAGCTTCTGTGGGCTCGACGCCTCCTGGTGGAGAACCGGGCGCAGGTGCAGGCGAGGAGGGGGGCTCCTCAGAAGGTGCATTTAGTGCATTTTCTAAACTTTGGCTGCAGCTCGGACCCGCGGACAACTCGGCCTCCGGCTCTGCTGGCTTGGCCTGGTCCGACTCCTCCGACGTGGAAGCATCGACTTGCGGCACTTTGAGCCCGTCCGGACTGAGCGTGTACGGGATTCCCTGGTCGTCGATGAGCAGGAGGCTTTCGGTGTCACAGTCTGCGGAGGAGAGGGAGGTGAAGACGGAGGTGGAGAAGGAGGAGGGAGACAGGAGGGAGTCGTCCTCGTCGTCCTCCTCCACCACGTCTCGGTCTCCGTCTCCCTCGTACTCGTCCACCTCCATGATCAGGGAGCTCTCGGCGCCAGAGTCCTCCAGGAACCGTCCACACCGCCGCTCTCGACTCTCCCTTCTCTTGGGTAAACTCAGGTCCAGCGGCTCCGTCTGCTCCTCCTCAAAACAAGACTTCAAGTCCGTTTCTCGCAGAATCAGAGGAACATTTCTCCCGACTTCCCTCTCGGCGGTCTCCTCTTTCACCCTCTGCTGGCTCAGGAGCTTCACGGCGTTGCTGCTGGAGATAAAAGGAGCTTGTGAGCCGTCAAAGTGCACGATTTTAAAGTCTAAAACGTCCGTCTCTTTGCATTTCTTCTCCCCCCTCTGAGCCTCCATTTCTTCAGCTCCCTCCTCAGTCTTGTGATAAGTGACCTCCATGATCTGTGCTTCATCTTTGACGGCTGACAGGTGGATCTTGCTCCGGCGCTTGGCTCCGGCTGAGAGCAGCACAGGCCTCCTGAAGTGAGAGCGAGCAAAGTCTTTGGTCAGGCTGATGGCAGAGTTCGTGATTGGCCTCTTGCACCGTGGGGGAACCACAATTTTGATTCTTATTGGCTGGCTGCGCAGAACAGGCACTCCAGTCTTGACTGTAATTGGCTGCCTGAACCCACCAATCTTGCCTGTTTCCTGAGAGGCTGGCTCTGAAGTCCCGCCCACCTCTGGCTTTTTCCCATTGATTGATAGAGCATCACGCCTGCTGGTCAGTGCAGCTCCGACAGGCCGCTGCTGGAGGTTACCTGCTGCTGAACTGGGCGAGGTTTGGTCCTGTGGCTCCAAAGCAGCCTCTGTCACCGGCCCTGATCCCTCTGCACACTGGCTGCCATTTTGGACATCCAGGCTGCCACTGGTCAGGACTGAAGCCAACTGAGAATCCATTTTGGGGCATACCTATTTATATTTCTAATAAATGGGGAGAAGAAAAAAAAAGAGAAAAAAAAAGAAGCAGAAATTAGAAACTCAGAGTTGCAGAATTAGAGCAAAAAATGATAAAGAATTAATTTCCGTCCTGTGCTGATGGCAGCAAAGGAAGGAAATTAAATCAAATGCAGGATGATTTGAAAAGCTGCTGCTGATGGAGGTCAAGTTTAGAGCAAAAAGCCACAAATCAGAGGTTCAGAGGGTTCACAGCAGCAGCAGCAGCAGCAGCAGCTCGTTAGTGGAGGATGACAGGCTTCATCCTCTCAGGATATCAGCTCAGCGGATTCTAACCGGGAGGTCGACGGATCAGACACAGAACCGGAGCACCGGAGGGTCCGAACGGTGCAGAACGAGCTCCGCGTTCACAGCAAACAGAGAAAATAATTCACACCGACGCTCACATCCTCATCAGCCCGCTCGGACTGTTTCTGGATCACCGGAGAGTCCGCGGAGGACGCCATTACGCACAGCCCGAGGTCCGAGCTGCCCGCATGATCCCGGTGCGCCCCCGCCGCGGCTCGGACCCCGGGCACCGGCACCGGCACCGGCGGACGACACGGACGCGGATATTCCCCGGGAGCGGCGGCGCGGCGCGGATCGTCCCTCTGCGGCGGAGCCTGCTCGGACCTCCAGCCAGCCATCTTAGACCGAGGGTCCGAGGCTCCGGAGCGCAGCCGCGGGACCGAGCTCCCCGGCGCGCCGCGGCGGCTCCCGGCGGCTCCGCGGTCCGAGGCGGCGGCGGACGCGGCGGACGCGGCGTCGGTACATTAACGGGCATTTTAACGTGAATCGGCCAGACTGCTTACCGAGCCGAGCAGCTTCCGGAGGACCAAATATGACTGTGCAGTTGAAGGGTGATGCTGCCGAGCTCCGGGAGGGAGGGGTCAGGGGGAGTTGCTATGGTGTCGCAGCCTACCGGGTCCGACCGGCGGCCATGTTCGGCCCAGAGGTTCTGATCGGGCTCGGTAGAACCTGCAGCAGCGCTCGAGCTGCAGCCGCACGTCCGATCCAGGAGCGATCTGCGGAGAGATTTCCGCGTTAATGAGAAACTCTGAGCAGCGACATGTGGACAATGTTTGAGCGTCTGTTCCGTCCGCTGGGTTCCTGTTCAGGCCCGGCAGCTGGTTAGAGATTAAACTGAACACAAGATCCAACTAGTCTCTCATTGAACCCGCATGTTGTGTCTGATTTAAAAGTTTAATCTGAAAAATTTAGTTAATTTGATCAGAAATTCCGTGACTTTGTCCACAAAGAGGATTTTAGCAGAAAACAAATCATCTTCATTTGCATACCATTGTTTTATTCAACCTCTGTTCCCTCTGTCTTAGAATGAATGGGGAGACTACAATTAGTGTGAACACCTGAGCTCAGGTACATCCTCATTTGTCACCTACACACACACACACACACACACACAGGTTGGGTTCCCCGGCAACCACTACAGGAACTGTTGCCCAGCAGAGTCTCTCACCTGCAGGACACCTGTTGGCAGGTCTCACCAACAGCTGCAGCATAGATTCAATAACATTAACTTTCTCATAGCGTTGGTGTGTGTGAGGCTCACAGCTCATCCTGTGGCAGCACCAGGGCAGGTCCAGACACTGGAGGTGAGGCTCTTGATCATGTGTTTGATCAGCACACTGGTGAGGAGGAGAGAGGCCAGGGACTGACAGTGAGGATGGATCAGAGGAGGAGGTGTGTGATCCAGACCGTGGTGTGGATGGAGGTGAATCCAGGAGGGAAGCAGCCACGCCAGCATCTTCCCCGAACACCCACCTCTGCAGGACTGGTGAGAGAGATCAAGGCTGAGAAGCAAGATCACCTCCTGCAGCAGAGAGGAGACGGAGACGGAGGTGCAGGAGATGTGAAAACAAGCATCATGTGTCATAAATACATCAACAAGCGGCAAATACCATCCAACATGAGAACAAACAGTCTGACGTAACCCACCCCACCGAGTTTAGAAGCCTGGTTCTGTTATAAATTCACATTTAGGCCTAAACACACCTGATATCTGACCTACTGCTTCACCTGGAGTCTATCCCAGCTGACTCAGGGTGAAGGCAGGTTCACCTGGACAGGTAACCAGTCTATCACAGGGCTACACTTAGAGACAGACAACCAAGCACTCTCACATTCACACCTACGGACAATTTACAATCACCAATTAACCTCAGCATGTTTCTGGACTGTGGGAGGAAGCCGGAGAACCCGGAGAGAACCCACGCTGCACGGGGAGAACATGGAGACTCCACGCAGGAAGATCCCGGGTGTCCTCACCGGGGCGCCAACCGAAGACCTTCTGGCTGCCACTGTGCTGTAGTTCAGCATTTAGTTTCACTAGTTAATCAAAAACTCACACTAGTTAGTCAGATTGAATAACTAGAGGCACATAGAAAGCTGTTATTCCATCAGTGTTCTCCTCTGGTTGGGTGTTTTTAGGACTAGTTTAACACTTGGTTTCACTCATTCAGCATTTTTTTGTGCAAGTTGAAAAAAAACTGGAACTAGTCCTTGTTTTCTGCAATTGTTTAATTTTCCCTCCAACTAGTTCCAACAAAAGCCTCAACAATGAACCTGAGCTCTGAGCTCGTCCCCTCTGGACCAGACAAGTCTTACTAATTAACTAACAGCATAAACTTGTCTGGTACTAGTTAAACAGTGAAGGCCGACGTAGTTAACTGCTGAAGCCTCTTTCGCTCTTTGGAAAACCATTTGAGCAGTTATTCAATCGGCTATGCTTAAATTTGGTTGCATTAATTCAGCAGTTTGTCTTACTAAGTGACCTAAAACTCTAACTAGTCCTTGTTTTTCTGTGACTACCGGCACTGTTTTCCAACTAGTCCCAACCTTCATAGTTCCAACTCGTCAGGCTCTTGGTGTGTTCGTGTCGTCAGGGAAGCTGTGTTTGATAATTTTCTAGTTTTTAGACTCTTTGGTTGCAAGAATTCAGCATTTTGATCAACTAGTTAATCAAAAATTCCCACTGGTTAGTCAGGTTTAATAGCTAGCATATATAGAAAGCTATTGGAGGATTTATTCCGTATACGTGATCAGTTTTCTCCTCTAGTTAGATGTTTGTTAGGACTAGTTGGACATTTGGTTGTATTAGTTAAGCATTTTGTCTAACTAAAGTCCCAACTAGTCCCCTCTGGACCAAACTAGTAAAGACAGAAAGACCAGAATGCTGACTAGTTAAAGCGTATGCTGAGTCTATGGAAGACCATTTGTGCCTTTATTCCATATAACTGACATCCTTCTTAGCTCTTTGTCAGCACTCGTTGGACATTTAATTGCAGTAGTTCAGCTTTTTTATCTGACTAATTAATCAAAAACTCTAACTAGTTACTCTTATTTATAAACTCGTGGCACATACGAAGCTATTGGAGCGTTTGTTCCAGACACTTGGTCAGTGCTCTCAAGTGTTTGTCAGGACTAGTTGGACATTCGGTTGCACCAAGTCAGCATTACGTTTTAACAAGTAAACAAAAACTCTGAACTAGTCACTGTTTTTCTGCAACTAGTTTAAAAAAAAAAGCCTTCATAGTCAGAACTAGTCAGGTTATTTTATGTATTAGTGATACAAAGTTTTTAGCCTGTTTGGTTGCACTAGTTCAGTACTTTGTTTAACTAGGTAAACAAAAACTCTAACTAGTCACTGTTTGTCTACACTAGTTCCAAAAACACCTTACTGGTTCCAACTAGTTTGTGATGCACCAGTGAATATGGAAAGCCATTGAGCAGTCATTTTTGTCTCAACTGGTTCCCTCTCGACCAAACTAGTAAACAAAGAAAGCCTAACTAGTTAACTAGTAACCTACCATTTTCTTTACTTGTTAAATAGTGAAGGTTAAAATACTCCAGTAAACTAACTAGTCCTTCTTTTTCTGCAACCAGTGGCACCTTTGTCCAACTAGTTCCAACACACGGGTTAACAATGATCCTGTGCATTGCACTAGTAGCAGTAAAGCCCCAACTAGTCCTCTCTGGCTGGGTCAAACTAGTACAGAGACAGAGTCTTGATAATTAACTAACAACCTACATTGTTCTGTAAAATGAGTGAACTGTTAAAGCCTGTGTTTCTGTTTGGAAAGCCGTTAGTTCATTCCAGTTAGGTCTTTGTCAGGATTAGTTGGACGTTTACTTGCACTAGTTCAGCTTTTTGTCTAACTAGCTGAGCTAACGTTCTAACTAGCAGTGATCATAAGTGGAAGGAAAAGAGTCTGTAACAGTGAGAGAAGATCTACGAGGTTGTTTAATCCCAACTGCAGCTCCTGTTGCAGTCAAATGAAATATGAGCGTCGGTTTGGTTTTTCTCTTGTGTTTTGTATTTTTATGGAAATGTTGTTTTTTTTCTCCTGGTTGAGACCGAAGACGTTCTGCTGCCTCAGCTGGACTATGAAGTTCATTCTATTATGTGAGTTATAGAGCAAAAAGAGAAGAAACGACGAGCTCCACGGTCACAGCTGAAACCACAAGTTTACGTATAAAAGGACACGACTCTGGAGGAAGTAGTAAAAAATTCTCTCTCTCATTATCCTGGTGTTTAACAAATAGAAATAATGGTGGTGATCCTGACTGACCTAAAGCAGGAAAAGTTTAGTCTGATTTAATGTCAGACAGTGAAGTCCATTGTCAGCAATAAAAACGAGCCGGAGCTGCTAAAAGTCATCGTGAACGAGAAGACATCAGGTCATACGTATACAGACGATGTGTTCAGATGAATACGTCTACAGGAGACGGAGTTCCAGCCGATTACTGTTTGAATCTAAAGACCATAGTTAGCACAAAGTCTGATTAATGGAACACTAGATTTGCCAGTTTCAAGTGATGACACAGTTTCATGTGAATGCACACGACAACTTCAGCTGCCTTCGACGTCAACACAGCGAGTTGTGCACCAAAATTTTCACCAACTTTCTGAGGTTTTGTTCCCAGGTTGTGCTAAGTCGTGTCTTTTATATGTAGTGTTGTCCAGATGCCCACCTGTACTGTGACACTCAGCTGCAGCGTCGACCTCCAGCTATCGAGGCTTTGCTCGCTCAGCAGTCTGGACTTGATTGTTCCGTCCATCCTGTCGAAGAAAAACCTGACAAGGACAGGAAGTTATGACATCTACTGACGTGGATTAGTTTCACATTTAACAGCAATATTTATTTATTTGTTTATCTAAAGTTGACTAAAATGGCATTCCGTACATTTGAAGAAGTGATTTTAAAACAGGCAGCTTGGTTTGTGTTTGGAGCAGCTTCTTCCCGTCGTCCTGAACGGACCACGACGTCCACCATCAAGTGCAATCTTTTGTTTTTCTACTTTTACTTCCTTCTACTTTATTCATGAGTGTGTGTGAAGCTATGACTGACTGTAGTGTATGAGTTAAAGCACCTTACAAGACAAGTACACACCGTTTGGTTGTGTGTTCTGTACGATGACAGTAAAGCGGTCTCTGTCTCTGCCACTACTAGTCCTAGCAGCACTACTGCTGCTCATCCAGGAACTTGCTGACATGGCAGCAGGCTGGAAGCGAGCGGGCCGAAGGCGGTTTACTGTGGAGCTGCCAGGAGATTAGCGGCCTGGTGACTAACCGACGGTGAACCGTGACATCCACACGAGACACGTCTTCCAGGTGAGGCCCTTAATGCCGGGCGTGTCCACCTGAACAGCGCCGCTGTAAGCCAGGGATTGGATGAGTTTCTGGCTGTTTGTCCTGTCGGGGGCTGATCGGGTCAGAACCAGAGTGTCGACGCTCTGACACAGCAGAAAAAGAGCTTTAAACTTACTGGATGTTAACAAAAGGAGGCGGATGAGCAAACAAAGAGACGACTGGAGGTCCAGGAACCACCGAACCAAAGGTCCAACAGATAACTGAAGGAACTCATCCAGGAACACAGAACTCAGGAAGAACACAAACCCTAAAGAACGTCACAACAAACCAGATGAGGAGAAGGAGCTCGAGGAAGAAGCCAAGCAGCAAACATGAGGTCAGCAGCAAAACAAGATTCAAAAAAGCAAAAGCACCAACCAGAACCAGAACCAGAACCGGGCAGGAGACAGGGAGGTGGATGAGCTGCTCACAAGCAGACGAACCGACAAACAAAATTTATAAGCAATGAAAACAAAACACAGGTGGAACCAGCAAAGGAGGGAAAATACTGAATCAGGAAGTAAAGTGACCAGAGACACACAGGGACAGGAAGCATTTCAAAATAAAACAGGAAATAAACTGAACCAAGGACTGAATATTGAGAAGATGTCCACTAGTTGGTCTGATGATGAGAGTCATGTCGGTTTAACTGTTAACTAGTTAGGTCCAGAATGTTCACTAGCTGAAAGGCCAAAACACTGACTAGTTAACTAGTTGTTTATTCCAAACCTTTGATGTCAGTTTTCTCCACTAGTCGGGTCTTTTTTTTTTTTAGCACCGGTTCAGCATTTCGTTGTACTGGTGCTCACTGGTCAGCTGTTAGTGGTGCTACTGGTGCTGATGGGAACACTCTTCCTGGTGACCTCGTCTGTTCTGTTGCAGCTGAGAGTGTTCTGCAGGAACATTTTCACCCAAAGCGACCTGAGCTGGTTTGTGTAACTATTCTGTCCACATGAAGATCTGAACCATGAAGGAGCAGGACACCGAGAGAGAGAAGCTGCTCTTCTTCCTCATCTTATAACTCTGACCTGAGCTCTTGTAGACTCTTTCTAACACCAGGTGAAGACTTCTGTTGGAACTAGTTGGACAAATGTGCCACTAGTTGCTGAGACAGAGCAAGATGTCTAATTAGTGCTGACAAAGACCAAACTGGGCCATCGAGGGCAAAAGCTGACCAGGTGGGACTCCAGTGCTGCTACTGAAGGCTTCTGCTGTTCAACGAGTGCGACCAGATGCTGACAGAGACCTGTCCAGGAGATCACAGAGTGTTTTCTGTGCACCTGCAGAGCAACAGCCAACCATGAAAGAGGCCGACGACGAAGCTTTCTCACATCATTTTATTTCAACTCACATCATCAAAACTTACAAGCCTCAGGACTTGACGCGTCGACAGAAGACAGAAGATCACAGTGAAACATCACAGAGTCCAGTCGGTATGGATCGGCTACATGAAGGTATCATGGCGGGCGTAGCTGCTATAGCGTGCACTAATGCGTTACACAGACATCACCGCCGAGGCTCACTGGCTGCATCTACAGCGTGCATCAAAGCCGGAGGAGGATCAAGGTAATACAGATTATAGTTACGAGCAGCAGCGTTCGACCTGCTGGTCCGGCGGAGCTGGCAAGAACTATTTCAGCCCCGCCGGACCAGAACGTGGAGAGTCGACGCCGCGGTTCGGTCAGCAGAAGTGTTGTGACTCGTGGAGGTTCGGGTCGAGCAGCTCGTCACTCCTCGTCTCCGGACTCGCACGCGTCGATTTCTGAGACCAGCCGGTGGGGGAAGAGTTTATACTGCAGCCATGTGGGCTCTGAGGAAGACCGGAGAACAGAACCATCAGAACACAGCGGACGTACGGCAGCAGCTGGGCCACAAATACGTCTAAAAGAGTGGAACGCCATGAGAATATATCTGAATTTTTTTACTGATCTAAATACAGTAAAACAGTGTCATTTAAAAATAAAACATTGAAAAGAACAAAAAAAAAAATGTTTAAAAAGTGCAGGTTGACATTAAAGGTCAACATGTAAATTATTACGCTTCTCTGATTTTATTAGATATTATTTGTAAGTAAAATAACAGTTTGCTCGTCCTTAATGTGCAATCTGTAATCTGTTAATAAAAACGTATTTTCTGTGATTTTACTGGATATTTTCTGTAATTTAACCAAACAGATAAAGTCTGCAAAATAAAAGTACATTTTTCCCCCCAAAGTATTACAGTTAAAACTTACATTTTTTACAGTGTGGTTTTCATAACATCATTACATTTTAATGTCGCTTTAAAAGCAACAGAAATACACGCAGAAAAATGTTTGCATTAGGAATGTCGCTGTGCGCATATTTCCTTTGCTTTCAAAGTGACATTATTAAAATAATAATAATAATAACAATAATAATAATAATAATAATAATAATAATAAAATAAATATGTTTTTTTCAAATGTAAAAATAGAAAAATAAATAAAACACAAAAATAAAAATAAAAAATAAATTTCCATAGTTTTATGTATTTGTCTTTATATTTCTACTTTTATTATCCTTTTGTTTCATGGATTCATTCTTGATTAATTTTGCCACATTATTTATTTTCTATTATATTTATTCTTCTGTTATTTTATTCTTCTTTTATTGATTTATTTTGGTAATTTGGCGCTCTCACGACTCCATACAGTTTTTTATAGTCAACATGTAAATTAATATTTTTTTACATTTTACAATCCTTAACACGTCTTTTTTTTCTTTTCTTTTCTTTTAAATACCAACAAATATCTATCAATCTCTCTTGCTTATTTAAAAGTGTGTAACATGTCAGTCGTGGTCTAAAAGATTGTTATTGTGGATATTATTTACAGTTTTGGCCTTTTTCCTTCTGGTTAACATGTAAATAAAACGTATTTATTTTATTTTTAACTTGAGAGAGAAAACAGTAAAACAACAGTAAATTGTTCTAGAAACGTGGTTCAGATAAACAGTCGGTCCGGGTTTACCGAGGTAGCAGGCCGGCGGCTGCAGCTTCCCGTCGAAGCAGCTCTGAGCGGCGCCGAAGCTGCAGTGCTTCCAGGGGTGTTTGCAGAAGAACGTGACGTTCTCGCCGTGAGGAACCATGGCGTCCGTGACGTCAAACGGCCAGCGCTTCGCTCCGCCAATCACCACGCGGCTCCGCTCGGCGGGGATGAGGCAGCGAGCTGCAGAAACGAAGGTGTGAAGGAGTCGAGTGAGCATCGAAGGAGAAGAAGAAGACACAGGAATCATCTCAGAAACTACATCCTGTCGTCTCCTGCTGAAGATCACGGCGACCTGACAGCTTTACTTCATCTACTCAGACATTTGAAAGTGTTGATGCAAACTAGAATTTTGCTTCCATTGACTTGAAAGTATGGGTTCAAATAAGACCTCTGAATTTGCTCAACAATCAAATACATTTTGTGTTTGGTTTCAATCATCTACAGCTGATTAACATCAGCGCTAACTTAAGCCTGACTTATTCTTACGCCTGCTGTGTCATTAACGATAAAACACAGTTTGAATTTGCAGCAACACTGGTCAGTAATTCAACACAGGGGACACTTGTTCCATGATATTGTGGATATTTTAGGCACAGAACTGGTCATTTAGGCTGCAAAGGCAGTTTAGTTGTACCAGGAAATAAAAACTTAGACCTTGTAGACTCCAGTTTATCTTAAACGCATGAGCTCTGGTTGGAGGTCCTGAACCTCCTCAGAGTCCCTGTCATGGTCCTGCTGCTGCTAAACTCCCACAATGCTCTCTGCTGCCACCATGAGTTGTAGTCTGAGTGACGCCTCCTCTGGTGTCTACAGGATTAAACAGGAAGAGGCTCCACCTGGTGGAACAACCAGGTACTACAGCTGGTCTACGCTACAAGAATTATCTGGACAACAGTGTTGAGTATGAGCAGATACTAAAAATTAAATGACACGTCGGGTTTATGGCAACAGAACCCGATGGGTCCGTCCCCGCCGGTTACCTCTGCAGTGCGGCGGCGCGGCACTCCAGCTGCCGTTGGACATGCAGGTGATCTTCTGAGGTCCATCCAGCAGGAAGTTCTTCTTGCACAGGTAGTGGATGTCAAAGCCGACTTCATACTCGGTCTTCTGCACGGCCACCACGTAGCCCTGCTCCACCTCGCTGGGAGGCTGGCAGTAGACCTCTGAGAGAGAGAGAGCATCAGTCAGCCTCTGATGTTAGAACATAAGAGCAGAGCTGCTGCTGAGGAGGACAAACACAGTCAGATGTTTCATTATTTCAGGGTTCAAGCACTTGAAAGTGCAAATCCAATCCTCTTGTCTTTGATGTTTTTAAACCGAAGCCAGTCTCAGACACTTTCCAAGAAGCTTCCTGCAAAAACTTCCTCTCCTGGTCAAAAGGCCGTCGAATCCCAGGTTTGACCACCAGGTGGCAGAAGAGCACCATGTTTTCAACTATTGATTTTTGAACAAGTTGTTATTTTGCAGATTTTCCCTGTTTTGTAAAATTATACTAATAAATTAACAAAACTAATACAATCACAGAAAAAATAGTGTTAATTTACATGTTAACTGTAATAAAACTGTAAATAAAGTTCACATCAACAGTCTGCGTTTTCATAAATTCTTCTTATACAGCGTTTGACTGTGACATTACACGATTTAGTTTTTGGTATTTAAATCAACAAAAAATATATATATGTGTGTGTGTGTGTGTGTGTGTGTGTGTGTGTGTGTGTGTGTGTGTGTCTACATACACACAGATATTTGCTGTCATGTAAAAGAAAAATATGAATATTAAGAACTAAAAAGCTTCCTGCAATAATTTCCTCTCCTGTTCAAAAGGCCGTGCAGTCACAGGTGTGACCACCAGGTGGCAGAAGAGCACCATGTTTTTAACTATTTACGTTTGAACAATTTATTGTTATTTTACAGATTTTTCCTGTTTTGTCAAATTATAATAATAAATTAATAAAACTGATAAAAATCACAAACAGGCCAAAACTGTAAATGAAGTCCACTTCAAAAGTCTGTATTTTCATAAATTCTTCTTGTGCAATGTTTCAGAGCAACATTACACAATTTTTGTTGTATTTAAATTTTTAAAAAAAGACATATTTATATATATAGAAATAAATACATTTGCTTTTATGTAAAAGAAAAATTCTGTTTGTTAAGAATTGAAAAGCTTAATGAAATCATTTCACCTCCTGTCCAAAAGGCCGTGCAGTCCCAGGTGTGACCACCAGGTGGCAGGAGAGCACCGTGGATCACAGCAGCAGCTCCTGGAAGGTTTCTCTGTTCCTGTCTGTCTCCTGTGATTCACTATTTCTTAGATTTCTGCTCTCGCGCACAAACACATGCAAAACAAACCGCTTCCAAACCTCTCACTTACTCATCGCTCGCCGCTCAGTCTTTTCCTGCTAATCGTCAAAAACACATGAAGTCAACCTGAGAGGATTTAACACGTGCACGACGCCGGGGCTGCAAGTGATCAGCCGTCCATTAGTCTGTCAGCTATGGTATGGATTAGCTGGTTGGGTGTTTGCTCTTTAAAATGGTAAAAAAATGATGTAAAACGTGGATCAGTTTAGTGTCAAAGAACCTGAAAACATTCACGTTGAGGACGCTGCCATCACAGGCCGCTGCTGTTTTCAGCGATTTCCTCAACAGCTGATCGGTTAATCGCTGCAGCTCCAGACGGTTTGCTGAGTTCCTGATTTTTAACCTTTTTTCACTATCTTGTGGTATTTTAGAGACAAAACAATAAAAATGAACCCAAACATTAGCAGCAGATGATTCAACAATGGAAATTCTGGTTGGCTGTTGCCCTGAAGAGGCCAAAAATATAGATTTCATAGTTTTGGATTCACACCACAAACAAACTACAACAAGCAGGCAGCTGATGGTTATTTTCATTGTCAGCCGTTGTTTTATGAGTTGTTTGTAGATTTAAATCAGTGTTTCCTCAAAGAGATTCAGTTTACTGAGAAGCTCCTGATGTGTTTTTCTTTGGATTAATCGGTTATGAAAATAGCTGGAGACGAACTGACAGCTCATGGATTGGTGGCTGCAGCTCTGGCGGTCGGTGGGAGACCCTCCTGCACACTCACTTTTACAGATGGGGTGAGGATACTGCCAGGTCCGGTTCTCCTGACAGAAGTTCTCGCTGCTCCCCACTATGTCGGCCCTGCACAGAGAAAAGGCAGAGTGATGCAGGCAGCTGGTACAGTGCTGACAGCTGAGGAGCCTCGTCTAAATAAAAGTGATGAAAAAAGGTGTGAATGATTCCCTTTCAGAGCGTCTAAACTCTGCGTGCTGGGCTCTGGCTGACACATCCACTCAGGCTCATCGTCTCCTGCAGATGACTCAGTCGGAGCCAGATTAGACTGTAATGACCCAGTTAGCTCAATGGAGAGCTCGTCAGCTGGGGGATCAAATGAATTCCCTGCCATTCATCGCTCCTCACACCTCTCTTGCATTCACTGCCTCCCTCTTCTTCACACTTCCTCCAGTTCTTCCTCTGAACCGGTTCGGGCTCCCAGTTAACCCCTTCTCACCCGGACAGGCAGCTGTAGCGGATGGAGGTCCCCGCGGCGGCGTCGCCCTCGATGCTGAAGGTGTCGGTCACTTCCGGAGGCAGCGGGCAGGCCTGGGCGGCGGTGGCGGCGGCGGCGGTGGTGGCAGGTTCGGCCGGCGGAGACTCTGCGGGTCAGACAGGAAGAGAAGCAGGATGAAGGCTTCACCGACACAACAAGCAGAATGTTTCCCTCTGAGTGGTGGAGCTATTAGATAAGAATTCACTGAACAGCTCAGACAGCAACAGACAGCATGATGATAAAATGGTGCACATGTAGAATCACACATGGTGCAACTAAAACACAAGATATGTCTTTCTTTTTTTTAAAAAAAAAAGCACATTTTGCACAAGTACGCTGCAAAAATTTTGTCAAAATTGTAAATAAAGTCCATGTCGAACGTCTGACTGTTCATAAACGGTAAGTCTTCTCATGCAAACATTTGACTGTTGATTGTCTTTAAGTCAAAAAATAGATATGTATGACAGATGTGTGCTGTTGTGTAAAAGACAAATTGTGTATATTAAGATGTGCAAAATGGTTTCGTGTGTTGAAAAGTTACAGATAATATCTATAAAAAATCCCAGAAAAAAAATGTTAATTTTCATATTAACCCTAACAAAATAAAAACAGGCCAACAACAAAATAAAATAATAACACTCCACTGCGTTTATCCAGCAGCTACAGAAAACATTATAAAACATGACGGAGCACCAGTGAAGCGCTGCTTCAGTACTTTGTGAAGATGGTACTTTGGGTTCAAACCTTGTACTCGCAGCAGAGTGCTTCTACATTTCGCTGCTCGTTCTGAAGAGCAGGATCCATCCAGCAGAGCCGCCTGCAGCAGCTACAGTGGCTGTCTGATCCAGGACTGTTATGCAAACAGCAGCGGCACACGAAGACGCATCAAGCAGCATCTAATTGATGTGAAGGCAACACCTGCTGGCAGGTGAAGGAGACGCAAGAAAAGTAGTGGAAGAGCATAAAAGTTACCTCGTTTGACTGGTATTAACTGAGGTTTGTATTTAGTCTGTGACCCACAGAGGCGTTTCACCCGATGTCTTGTTCTATTTAGGTTGAAATAGCCCTTCTTAGGTAATATATCAAAGTTCGACGAGCAGGTGAAGCGCAGCCTCACACCTCTCCCAGCTCACAGCTAGAACTACGATTGTGTAACACCTGGCACTGTTCATTCCTGGAAGTTTGAGAGCCTCACGCTTGTGGAAATATAAATATCAAGAGTGGTGCTTGGAGAGAGGCTGGAGTGACCCGAGCTGCATGAAGCGCCGAGCGCGGCTTTGAAAGGCAGAGACAGCTCTTGCCAGAGGCCTATCTTAGGTATCTGAAGCCGAGCGGCGTTAATCTAAGAATGTAAAGGGACCTATGGGAGAGGCAGAGCTGCGTTTGGTCTGTTTGGCGGCGGATGAGAGCCCGAAGCCGAGTTCTGTTTTCACACTGCGCCCTCCTCCTGCCTCTGCTGCCGCCGCCCACACAGCTGCAGCTCCACACTGCAGGTAAATCAAATTCATCTTCTAAAAAGTAGAAAACCGTGATTTTGAATGAAACGCTGCGTTAAACGCGCACCAATCTGACTCCGTACGAGCCTCTCTCTGTGTTTTTTACTCACACAGAGACGCGTCCGCAAACTAAAGAGCCTGGAGCTTGTCCTTGGCTTCTATTGTGGAGAGAGACCTTATCAGAGGCCTCAGATGGAAGAGGATGAGAGGAGGAAGAGATGAGAGGAAAAGAGGATGAGAGGAGAGGAGAACAGGGAACAGAAAGGCCTGAAGCATCATGAGCAAGAGAGCTCTCTGACTCTCCTGACTGCGATCTGTCGCCCACACAACACACAACACAACACACGCAACACACATACAGGCCGTGTGACACATGTGCACACACTCACGTCTAATGTATACCGAAAAATCCAGCACTCGGTAAACACTCTCACACATGCAGCTCGCTCTGACAGCGATCTGCCGCCCACCGCCTCTCCACAGCCATGAAGCAGCTCGACTCGCAGCGCAACACACATGCAGAGGACGCACAATGCTCGCACAAAAACCCACCTACCTTCTGCCCGTCTCTCGGGAGGAGGAAACTCGACGTGAGAGCTGAGAATTGTATCCTTGCTTCACATCTCTGAGCAGATAAATAATCGTGCGGGTGAGACCGGGACCCAGCTGAGCCGAGGATTTCTCAGAAAGTGTGTTTTCTGCAGCTGCAGGTTACGCTGTTATAAATAATAAGAAACCCGATAATGTGCACTCGTCTCCAGGCATCGTGTCAGCCGGCAACATGGCTCACACTACCTGCTGTAGGGAACACTTCTCCATTGGCACGCTTATACTGAATTTGTGGTTTGTCCTTTATTTAAAAATGACTCTGAGTTTTGCACCCGTTGGCCTCCATACATATGGCCACCCAGGCCGAAATAGCTCAGTTGGGAGAGCGTTAGACTGAAGATCTAAAGGTCCCTGGTTCGATCCCGGATCTCGGCAGCTAAGAACAGTTTTAGGATCACAAGGCTGTGGTAGAAAACTGTTGTCTTGATGCTCTACCTGTAAACCGGGTTTCGGCAGCTGTGAACAGTTTTTGGAACACAAAATGGGACAAAGCTGACCCTAACCCATCTACCAGCAGGAGACTAAAGGTCTGAGGTCTATCCAGTGACTTCCAGCAGGTCTTCTGTCTGTACAGCAATAGTCTGCAGCAAACAATGGTCTGACTGCACCTCATTGTCACTCTGCTGCAGGTGAAAACTTCTTCTAGTTCCTTTAAACCAATCACGATCATCATGGGTGGAGCTCAGCCCAAGATGCAGTGATGGTGTCCCGGCAGTAAGTGAATTGTTCTGGTGGAACTTTTGCATACAGGAAGGAAGGAACTGTTATTGAAATGGATAACTCACCAAAACAACTGTCTTACTGCACAATTCAAATCCTCAACTAGTAGCAGCTCATAGCTCTTCAGCACATTTAAATTTTTGACATGATTAAATTTGCACCTCTTGGTCTCCATACAGATGCACATCCATGCCGAAATAGCTCAGTTGGGAGAGCGTTAGACTGAAGATCTAAAGGTCCCTGGTTCGATCCCGGGTTTCGGCAGCTCAGAAGAGTTTTAGGATCACAACGTTGTGACACTGCACATGAATACTGTTGTCTCGTCAGCAAAGAGAGTCAAAGCTGAAGGCGTTCTAGCTAGACAATAACCCGAAGTTCAATCTTCAGCTTCAACAGTTGTTTAAACTCACCAAGCTGCACTACAGAATGGTCTGACTGCACCTCGTAGAGGTAAAAAAAGTCTTTAAACCAATCGTAATCATCATGGGCGGAGCTAAGCCCAGGATGCAGTGATGGTGTCCCGGCAGTAAGTCAATTGTTTTGGTGGAACATTTGATTGCCAGAAGGACGGATGTCATTAAATAGATAATTCACCAAAAAAAACTGTCTTACTGCACAATTCAAATCCTCAACCAGTGGTATCTCTTGGCTCTTTGGCACGTTTACATTTCAGCTACGAATTATGTTTAAAAAATCTTGCTCTTTTTGGCACCTGTTGACTTCCATACAGATTGACTAGCAGGCCGAAATAGCTCAGTTGGGAGAGCGTTAGACTGAAGATCTAAAGGTCCCTGGTTCGATCCCGGGTTTCGGCAGCTTGGAACAGTTTTAAGATCACAAGGCTGTGGTAGAAAACTGTTGTCTTGATGCTCTATCTGAGGATGAACCTGAAGATCTAAACCTTCAATGGCTCTTCTGGTCTCGTCATTTGTAGGATACCGTCTGACCCTCTTGTTTCTCTTTAAACAGGTTTGGAAAGATATCGGCAGATTTCTATTGTGATCTGTCCTTTAAAAAGTTTGCACTTTTTTTGCTTTCTGCTCTTGTTGGCCTCCATACTAGGCTGTTTTTGTGCCAAAATAGCTCAGTTGGGAGAGCGTTAGACTGAAGATCTAAAGGTCCTTGGTTCGATCCCGGGTTTCGGCAGCTCTGGAGAGTTTTAGGATCACAACGTTGTGACGCTGCACATGAAT